TAGATCTGTCACAATTGTGATAAGTTATAGTGATAATTTTAAAATTTATCACAAATTTTTGTCACTAAAAATCATTTTTCTTGTAGTGTGTACTCCAACAGTGTACTTTCCTCTTTCTTTGCCAACTGCTCGTAAGCTGACCTTGTGGTTTATTTTCCTTCATTGTCAGGCCTCCATCTCCAAGTGTCTTTCACATTCTGCACTGGTTTTTTTGCAAATATCATTCCACCATGGTGATCCTATTCCCCTACCCTCTTTCATCCATGATAACCAATTTCCTCGCTTGCCACCATATTTTTCTAACAGCACCCTAGACCACAAACCCTTATCTCCCCCTATTAATCTCCCCCACCATTTCCCGAGTAATGCCATATTGAACCATCTAAGATTTTTTACCCCTAAACCTCACTCTTTTTTTTCGCAACAGACCTTCTCCCAAGCTACCCAAGCTATCTTTCTACCTTCCCCAACTCCTCTCCATAAGAAATTTCTCCTAATTTTATCAAGCTCACAAATTACATGTTTAGGGAGAAGGTATAACGACATCAGGAACACTGGCAGGCTGGACAGCACAGAGTTTATGAGTGTGATTCTTCCGCCAAGAGACAGGAATTTTCTTTTCCAAACTGAGAGTTTTCTTCTGAAGGTTTCGATTAGGGGTTTCCATGTATCTATTCTCCTTGGATTTGCTCCCAATGGCATGCCTAGGTATTTGCAAGGAAGGGAGGCAGTTTTACAATTCAGCAACCATGCCATTTTTCTAGTCCATTCTTCATCAGTATTAACTCCAATTAAAGAGCTTTTTCTGTAACTTACCTTCAGACCTGACACCAATTCAAATGCCCTCATGATGCATTTAATCATCCATATGTTGTCTTCGGTTGTCTCTCTCATAAAGATTGTGTCATCTGTAAATTGTAGATGGCTGATCTCTAACTCTTCATCTCCTATTTTTACTCCACAAAGATAACCCTTTACTACTGTTGCCGAAGTTAGTCCATTTAGAGCTTTTGCCACCATTAAGAACAGAAATGGAGATAGTGGATCTCCTTGTTGAAGCCCTCTTGACATCGAGAACTCTTTGGTAGCACTTCCGTTAACTAACACGGACACAGTATTTGATCTTAAACATTCAGCAATCCACTCCCGCCATACTTTGTCGAAATCCATTTTCTCCATCATGTTGTCCAAAAAAGACCAGCTCACCTTATCATATGCCTTTTTGAAATCAATCTTGAATACAAAACACTGGGATTTCCTCTTCCTCACCTCATCAATTGCCTCATTTGCAACAACAACACTGTCGACCAATTGCCTTCCTTTGATGAAAGTAGATTGATTCTCCCCTATAATTGTGTTTAATACTCTGCTGAGTCTGTTTGCTAACACTTTGGCAAGAATCTTATACATGTAGCCAATTAAGGAAATGGGTCTATACTCTTTAATGCCTTGAGGATTCTCTCTCTTCAGTATCAAAACCAGGAAAGAAGCATTAAAACCCCTTACCATCCTTCCATTTGTGTGAAAATCCCTGACGTAGTTCATGATATCTGCTTTTATCACCTCCCATTCATTTTTTATAAATCCAAAAGTAAAACCATCCGGACCTGGTGCTTTGGTGCTGTCACAATTCCATACCGCAACTTTTATCTCTTCTTTTATAAAAGGTTCAATGAGCATGCCTCTGTCCTCCTCTGAAATAGATTTGAAGCTCAGCCCTTCTAAAGTCGGTCTTTGCCATCCCTCATCAATGAATACATTTGCAAAATACTTCATAACACCCTGCTTTATGTCTTCAACTTGTCTTAACTCTTTGCCTTCTAGAGAAATTACATTTATTTTGTTTCTATGCCATCTCCCTCTGATGCATTTGTGGAAAAAACTGGTGTTAGCATCTCTTGCTTTCAGCCAAGTTTTCCGTGCTTTCTGTTGAGCCATCTCTTCTTTCAACTACATATTCTTTAACAACCTAGTGTAGTGAGAGCTCCTGAAAATAATGTCTTCATTTGACAAGTTGCTTGTTTCTCCTTTGCCATCAACTCTGTTTATCTCCTCCCTGGACTGCTCAATTTTTTTGTCCACTTCTTGTATATTGGACTTTGACCACACTTGGAGAAAATCCTTTGTCATCTTCAGTTTCTCCTTTAAAATGAATCCTCCCCAGCCTTGAATTTCTAACTCCTTCCATTTTGCTATAACCATATCTGTGAACCCCGGGGTATGTAGCAAAGCATTGAAGAATTTGAATGGTTTTGGTCCCCAATTCCTTACCTCATTTTTTACCAATATCAGACAATGATCTGACAGAGATCTCTGAAGTCCCCACTGTTTTAGATCAGGCCAATTCAATAGCCATTCATCATTGAATAAGAACCTATCTAGGCGACTCATACATCGGCCATTTGGTTGGTACCATGTATACTTTCTTCCTAGCAAAGGTAGATCCAGCAAGCCATTCTTCACAATAAACTCTTCAAAACCCTTTATGTCTCTCCTCACGCTCTTACCCCCCTTTCTTTCCTGAGAACTTTTCATAGCATTAAAATCACCCTCTAAACACCAGCACCCCATGTAATTTCTTATCAGCTGTTCAAGATCTTCCCACAGAATTTTCTTTTTTATCAGGTCACATGGAGAGTACACATTACACAAAAAACATGGATACTCATTTGGGCCCCATAACCCGTGGATTCCTATAAACCCCTCCCCTTCAAAGACATCCATCTTCTTAATTATATCACTATTCCAGATGATAATTAATCCTCTCGAGGCTCCTGCAACAGATTTTGCCACCCATTCCATGTTATCTGAATCCTAGAGTTTCCTACATAATTTTCTATCAACTATTTCCATTTTTGTTTCTTGCAAAAACAAAACCTCTACCTTGTGTTTTAACACCAGTTCTCGTACCTCCCTTTTCTTCCCCCATCCACCTAACCCCTTAATATTTAATGACAGCAAATTCATGGAAAATTAGCAAGCACCTGGTTTCTAGAGAGAGTGCTTACTGTGTCTTTTTTTCTTCTTTCTCTGTCCTGTCGTTCCATCTCCTCTAGTTTTTGCAG